AGGTGTAAAAGCAGGTTTACAGTTGCTAGTGCACCAGAGTTTATTCTTGGATTATTATTTATTACTTATTGTATTATTTTCCATATGAACATCTGTAAACCTACTTTTGCCCCATCCTGTATTCTACCTCAGTTTCTTCTTTATTATTTCACTCTTAGTTTCAAAAATCTGAGTGATAAGTGAATTCTTATTTTCTATTTCTTTTTCCACTGTTCATTTTTCCTTTCGCTGTAGAAAATTTTATCAGGCTTCTATTTATTCCAGTTTATATTCCCTTTGCTAGTCCATCCCGTCTCACTTCAGCTTATTTCTTAGTTTACATTGTTCCAAATAAGAACATAGTTTTAAAAGCATAATTTTATTGTTGTTTTAAAGCATAATTCTATTAAGCCTCCTCCAGAAAAAAAAATACTGACTAGGTGCCTGACCATGTAAAAATGAATATTCCTTTTGCATGCAGGAATCTCAACTAAAGTTTAGAGACAATCTTTGATATGAACACTGGAATAAAAGTGATAATCATCACTATAGTCCAAATATGTATCATTGAAAACTTACCACCTATATTCAGTATTAGCTTTTAAAGTTTCAGTTCCTTCCATATGAAAGAATAGGCATTACATTATGAGTTTATGATTATCCTTAGAAGTTTCAGAACTCAACTTAATTTTGTTAACTTTAGTTGCATAGAAAAAAACATGATTCTGAGTTTAAATTTTTCTTTGCATTTTTTCCCTCCATCTTTATGGAGGTGTAATTAACAAATAAAAATTATATACCTTTACATTGTAGATGATGTTTTGATATATATATATATACATACATTATACTGTATCACAATCTTATTAATATATTCACCACTTTACATAGTTATCTTTCTTTTTTATTGTAGTGAAAACATTTAAGATTTACTCTCAGTAAATTCAAGTATGCAGTACAGTAGTAATGATTAACTGTAGTCACCATGTTATACTTAGATCTTCAGAACTTTGTATTCCATAAAACTGATAATTTGTCCTCTTTGACTAGCATATCCCCATTTCCCCAGTCCACGACCCTGGCAGCCACCATTCTATTATATTATACTCCTGTGAACTTGAGTTGTTTAAATTCCACATGTAAGTGAGATCATGCAGTATTTGTCTTTCTGTTCCTGGCTTATTTCTCATAGCATAATATCCTTTATTTAGGCTCATCCATGTCGTCTCAAATGACAGGAGTTTTTCTTTTTTAAAGTTGATATATTCAGCCTAAAATATTCTTTTTTTTTCATTTTTTTATTTATTTATCTTTAGAGGGGAAGGGAAGAAGAGAAGGAGAGAAACATCAATGTATGGTTGCCTCTCTCATGGGTCCCCTGCTGGGAACCGGCCACAACCCAGGCATATGCCCTGATTGGGAATTGAACCGCGATACTCTGGTTCACAGGCCCGCGTTCAATCCACTGAGCTACACCAGCCAGGGCTAAAATATTCTTTATATATGTGTATAATATCCTACTATGTATGTATGTATATCAGATGTTTTTTATCTACTCATCCACCAATAGACACTTAGGTTGAATCCATATCTTGGCTTTTGTGAATCATTTCTGTGTTTTTCAAATTGCTTTATAAAAGGAATAATATACTTTCACTTTTGCTACCAAATATTTTAACAGGCAGGCATTAGGAAAAATACACATTTCTTTCTTTGAGATGTTGATATTTAACAAAATGTGGACTCCTGAAAACAATATTTTTTATTACCTTTGCATAAACAATAAACCTGGCTTTGTCCTAATGAAATATTGGCCATATGGGGTTTTTTTCACCTTCTTAAATATTACTGCTTATTCAGATAGCCCTTGAAAATATATTTTTTATATAACATCCGTATCTGAGATGGGTAAATTGATTCACATATACTAAGAAACTGATTTATATATACTGAAACAAAAATTCTCCCAATTCACATAACTAGGAATTTAAGGAATCATTTCACAGTGTCTTCCAACTGTTTCAAACGGGTTTGTCTTAATGATTTAGTCGAATGATTATCCAGCGCCATACTGGAAGTATAAGTGAAAAGTGCGACGTGTAAGACTCTCATTTCAGTATTCATTCCACAAATTCGGCATTTCCAAACTAGTACTTGGAACAGTTTATAATGTTGAGTATTTTAAGTTTTAGTACCTCAAGATAAATTCATTTGTTGAATGATTTAATGTTTAAAATCTCCTAAAACATAATGTCCAAAGTTCCCTTGCTTTCTTATCTGAAGTTGCAATAACTTAACTTCCTGCAGTATAGGGTCCATCTGGTTAATATTTGAGAGTAGAAGGAAAAATAAAAATGATCTCTTCTAATGTTTATGTACACTCTGGGATGCTCAACAAACTGAAAAATCTCATTAAGATAAATTAGCACTGAAAAGAAAGTCTGAATTTCTGAAAGTGTTGGAGTTGCCATTAACTTTACTAATCTCAAATCCTTTGAAAAATAATGAGCATTTTCAGAAAGTTGTGTCAAATTGCCACAGTGGAAAATAATGTGCCCTGGCTAGTGTGGCTCAGTGGATTGAGCACCAGCCTATAAACCAAGGGGTCACAGGTTCGATTCCCAGTCAGGACACATGCCTGTGTTGCAGTATAAGAGGCAACCACACATTGATGTTTCTCTGCCTCTTTTTCTCCCTCCCTTCTCCTCTCTCTAAAACTAAATAAATATTTTTTTTGAAAAAAAGAAAATAACATTAACATGCTACATTCATTGTAGATAAATCCTATTTGTCCTTTCTTTTTAAGTAACATGTTAATAGGTTCCTTTGTGAGATATTTTCTTGGGATGCTGAGGATTTAAGATTTTTATTTTAAATATATCAACAATCAGTAATACTTTTATTTAATAATAATAAAAATAATAGTAAAGCAGAGCTGTATTTCTAACCCCAAACAAGGTGAAGACCTTAAATACATCATAGAAATACCTCAAAGAGTGAGTCTTCCCTTTTATGTCTTGCCAGTAAACCCAAAGAATCTTCCAGATAAATTTACCCAAACCCATAATGAAATCTAGATATCACAGAAGTTGACAGTTGTTTGTAAAGCCAAAGATGTATCCTTCTTTTCCTACCTTTTCCTCCATCTCCTCCCTAACCTTTACCACCTTAGCTTTTAAAGGTTTTTCAGCATTAGAAGCAGTCATTCCTAGTATAGGGCAGAATCATCAGTACTTTGACAACTGGGGTAGTCTTTATCACTTTCTGTAACTGTCTTCATTTTCAGGCCAAAATTACAGAGTACCTCTTTTTGGTTCTAGTTCCTAGTAAAATCGTTTTTTTTATATTGAGAATTTCTAGTAGCAAATTTCAAAAAGAGATTAATCAATTCCATTTAATTTACTTATTTTGTTTAACATAATGTCAAGTGTTTCTGTTCTCAAATATCACTTCTGATTTTGTTGATAAAGATTTAATATAATCTGTTAGAAGTTTATTTTCATACATGTAGCATCCTGAACGGTTGGCTAGCTTTCACATGTCACCATTCTCCCTAGTCCACACTAAAAGCCATTGTGTTCTAATTGCACGTAACACTAAAGAAAAACTTTGTCTACCACTTTTTAAAAAAAACTGTGACTGTGAAAATGTCTGCTGATGTGACCGCTGTATAAGCTTGGTGAAGCAGTTTTGATCCAGAGGAAAACATGGCCTAATTGTTGGTCAGACAAAAAATACGCAGCAGTAAATGATCTTTATTTTACCTCAGTTTGACTACATAATTACGAAAGTAAAGTAGTACTCTATTTTAGAAATGTTAAGCAAACACTGGTACTTAGAAAATACCACATTAGAATGTATATTAGAAAAGTTGAAAAAGGTGTATTATAAGAAGCTGGTACAATAGAGCAATAAACTGAAATAAACTGGAGAAGGTGTTGAGGAGACCAAAGAGAAATCAAGTCTTTTTCTTAAAGAACAAATAAGACTCCTAAGAAATTGAAAGAAACTCCTAAGAAATTTTCAAAAAACAAGATTAGAGGGAGATGTACTCAGATGATAAGAAACAATGAGGTAAAATCACTCATTTTAATAAAAGATACGATGACCTTAATTGAATAAAATCTTAAAAGTCACTAAATATAAATGTCCACTGGTTTGAATTTGAACTTCTAAGACCGAAATTGCTTTGGCTGAAGTATTTATGATTGTATAATATTAGGACTTCAGATCTCTGAATTTTTCAATTTATAGCTTTATAAGGTACACACAGTTTTCTAGGTATGATCAAATTTTTTTTAAATCCAAACCATACTGTAGATTATTTCATGTTGTTCAATGTTGACTTTTTAGATGTCAGAGTAAATGTAATACCAGTGTAAGCCACAGGGTGGGAGTGAAAGGCAAGAACTTGTGTTAAAGTAGTTTAAATACATAATCGTACTATCTTTAAAATGTTTGTTAAATGCCAAGGAGCTGTTGCTTGGTCTTCTTCCTTCAATAAAGCGGCATTCCTCAGCAAAGACTCTAACAAAATACAAAGACATTGATTTAAATGTATAGGCCAGTACTGGAAAAGAAGAGCACAAACACACACATATTTTCTCTAAACTTTTCAGTCATTTCAGGTGCTACTGGTGATCAGAGTAGCAATTTTGATCAGTAGGTGGATCTGAGGAAATTCCTCGAATTATCAGTATTGGAAATAGTACCAGACAGAAATACTTTATATCTTCATCCTATTTTTCTCCCTTCATTTCCCTTTTTTCCTTATTCTCATTTAAAGGAAAAAATCAATCATGTGTCTATATATGTACATATACATATATGTATATGTGTATTTGCATATACCACATACAGGTACATGCATATGCACATGTGCGTAGATGTATATATACATATCTATAATTTACTTAAAGTTATTTTTCAAAGAAGAATATAAATTTTCATTGTTTTCTGTTAACCTATTCTCATTTGAGTTGAGAAGCAATTTAAAGTGGTAATCATTTTCTATCTTTAAGGAAAGAAGACAAGAAGTTTCTTCTCCTAGAAAAGAAACTTCACCAAGGAGTCTTGGCATTCCTTTATTCCATGAAAGGTAGCTCTATATCCTTTTTCTGCCTACTCTAAAAATGATAAATATTGAAATATATTCTTACTTACATATTTTTAAATTTTAGCAATTGAAAAAAATAGCAGCTTCTTAGAACTAGACAAGACCAACCCAAGGCTCCTCTATGTGAAAATGACCTACATGAGTTATACAGTTAATACCAGAGGTTAATCTAAAAACTGAATTCTCTAAAGTGCTAGTATTTTAATTGACCAAGTATTGGGTTGGCCAAAAAGTTCATTTGGTTTTTATCCATGAGATGACTGTAGTAATGCTCAGTTGTCTAACTTTATTCAAAATAATTTTGTTAGATTGTATTATGACAGCTGTCATATCAGCAGGCATTTTTTTTAAAAACATCAAAATTGGAGAATTTTTGTGTAGACATTTTAATATTAAAGATGGAAGAAAATATACAATGTTTTCAGAATATTATGCTTTGTTATTTATTGCAAGAATGGGAAAAATGCAACTGAAACACAAAAAAAGATTTGTACAGTGTATGGAGAAGGTGCTGTGACTGATCGAATGTGTCAAAAGTGGTTTGTGAAGTTTTATGCTGGAGATTTCACACTGGACAGTGCTCCATGGTTGGGTAGACCAGTTGAAGTTGGTAACAATCAAATCAAGACACTGAGAACAATCAATGTTATACCACATGGTAGATAGCCACATACTCAGAATATCCAAGTCAGTAAAGTTATTGGTAAAAATGAAAAATTTTATATCCATAAAATTTTTATTTTATGGATAAAACCAAATGGACTCTTTGTCCAACCCAGTATTATGGCCACATTGTTTTATACAGATGACTCTTAATATTAACCTTATCAAAGTGAGGAATATTTAATTTTCCTTTGCTTCACAGGCTTAACAGAGAACAAAAGTCAAAGCGTCGAAATTTCTAATGTGAGAATGTGACAGCCAGTATAAGTGTGATATATGAATAAGCAGCTATGCTGGTCTGCCCTGTGTTTATGTATTAGAAGTCTTAGTTTTTTGTTACTTTGTACCTGGCTCTCCAAACATTAGAATTTTTTAGGGGACATTTTCTAGGAGTTGAAAACATTTATTTAACTTTAACCTTTCAATAATTATTTTCTGGTACATAAAAACTTGCTATATAAGTTTAATTATGATGGAAGAATATTTGAAGAAATAACCTTATATTTTTAAATACTGATTTATTTTTAGGAGTTATATAGAGAAGACTTTCTGGGATCTGAAAGAAGAATTTCATAGAATATGCATGCTAGCAAAAGCTCAAAAAGACCACTTAAGCAAACTTAATGTCCCAGCCACTGCAACTGGTAAGGTTCAATTTAATGTAATATTAATATTACTGATAATATTAATCTTATTGGTTGGAATTTCTTGTTGATTATGGACATAGTTCTAAATGTTTAAGTGTCACATATCTTCAGCTTAGGCCTCATACCAGTTATAGTTGGTCAGTGCTGTTAAAGTTTTGTAATGTATTACATTATATTATTTATTGGGTTTTCTTTCCTTCTTTATTGTATGTGGTAAATATAGATTAAATGAAATGACACTATTACTAATCATAATGAAAAGTTTCATCATGGAAAAAATATAAAATAAATATAAACTATATCTCTCAAAGTTTTCAGTTGCTCTTTGGGTGTCTTATAAAACATTAATTCATGTGTCAGTACGCGACCTTAAAACTGCATTACCATATATAAGCTGAGTTAAACTATAACATCAGGCTTGTTTTAAATACTGTCTGAAAGATAGTTAACGCCATAGATACATTTTGTAATTTGGTTGAGAAATAAACATTGTACATTTTGTGAGGCCACTTCTTTTGGAGGCACAAAATACAAATTTAGTATTAAAAATAAAAGGAGCATCTGTCTTACACATATATTTCAGTGTGTTTTTAAAAGCTGCACCTTTTCTTAAAACCTCAGATTGGCTTCCTGGTGTTTGCATCAGGAGTTCATGTGAATAGCAGCATACTGGGGATTGAACCTGGCTACCAAGCACTTCGGTAAACAAAAGGAAAGTAAGAAAGTAAATGATCACTTATGATAAATTCCCCTTTACCCTTGTGATTTGAAATATTCATCAATTCCCGAGAGATGTGATTTAGAGTTTTCACTCTGAAAGATGTTGCATCGGTGCTAATACCCCTTTAATTAAAGATCACATTCCATTTTTTATAGCTTTTATATCTGGGCTATTTAAAAGTCATTCTATAGTGTAAATTCACTTTCTGCTTTTTCTGCCATTTTATTTTCAGAAAAGCTTCACCGTGTTGTATTGGAAAAACAAAACAATCTTCATGGACAGATATAATTTATTGCTTCCCCACCTTTCCTCCTACCTCTCCAAAAAAGAACTTTAATTTTTCCTTCTTAGTTTTTGTCATTTTCATTAGAGATTGGTACTCTGTGCCAACTAAAAACACTAAGTACTTCTGAAGGGATTGAATTATTTTACTTAAAAGATACTAACTATAGAGAAGTAGTACCTAGAATTCATAAACATTCTTTTTTGAACATCAACATCTTATCAAAACATTGCAATGGTGATATATTCCTTGGCTTTACCCCATTATCAGTGGCTTAATACCTTGACCATTTTTAAATTGCACAGTTCTAAAACTAGTATGTATCTGTCAACTAGAACACTGAGTGTTTAACTTCAGTTTTTTCCCCACTAAATCTGCTTCCTAACATTATTCTAACTGTCACAAATAATAAATATAACATTATTCTTGAAATGTTTTAGAACTGCTGTGCTACAGATTCCGGTGAAGTTTTTGCCAGGTCCAAACAGAAACCAAAATATCAAATACTATGCTGCTGACAGCAGTAAAGGGGATAGAAAAAAAGTATTTTGGAAAAAGATACCTTTTTAGGTTTTTTAATGGGTAAATACTACATTGAAGAAAGTATAAAGGGGCCCTAGCTGGGCAGCTCAGCTGGTAGAGCATTGTCCCTGGGCCAGGATAGCAGGTTCCTTCCCCAGGCAGGGCACATGCAAGAAACAGCCAGTGAATTCATAAATAAGTGGAAAACCAGATCCATGTTTCTCTCCCTGTCTCCCTTTTTCTGTCCCTCTGCTTCTCCCTCTCTCTCTCTCCTATAAATAAATAAGATACAAAGAAAAAAGGATAAAGGAACTATTTCAAATGTGATTTTCATAATACATCTGGAAAAAGCATATTTAATATTATCCCTATGTTTCTTTTGTTAAAATTTTATTTTTACTTTTAAATAAACAGATACAATTTGTGAAAATTTGCTGTTGGTAGGATTGTACATTTCTGTATTACTTTCTTTTCCTTGTCATTGACACTCATTAAGTGTTTAGTCCACAGAGCAGCCAAGAGCACCCTTCCCAAACTGCCTAAACCAGTTTGGGGAAGCCAGAAGAACCATCCAGATACATGAAGATACATGTTTAAGTCAAGGAATGACAAACAAATAAGAGTTAGGCAAACAGTAGTGGGAGGGGACACTAGGCAGTCCGCACAACATATGCAAAAACCCAAAAACAAGAAAGCATGTCTATTTTGAAGAACTCTCCCTAAGTCTGTTATAGCTGGAGTAAGGAGTGAGGCAGGTATTGTTGAAAGATGAGAGAATGGAGAGGTGACTGGCAGCTGAGGATCTTGGAGAGCCATGAAAAAGTTCTATCAGGAAGGTAACAAGACCAAATTTGTACTTTACCAAAAAAACTAGGGGCTTATGCAATGTAGAAAATGAAGAATATGAGATAAACTTAGAGGCAGGAAGTAGTTCAAAGTCTGTTGTAATAGTCCAATAGAGAAGATATATGTACTAGAAAAAGGGAGAAGGTGTAGAATAGAGGGAACCAAAGAAGTTAGTTGCAGTGCACTACAGTCATGTCCAAACAGAAGGCACTGTTTTGGAGTGTGGTGTGGCTTGAGACTGCCAAGACCCTGAAGAAGGGAAAGGAATTGACATTTGTTAAGTGGCGACTAAGCTGGACAGACACTGTGTGAGGTTCTTAGAATGTCATCGTTGGTCAGTTTTGTTTTGTGATTACACAACTTCATTGATGATTACCTTGTTAAAGTGATCATTGTTGTTCTTACCATTTGCCCACTTAATGAAAATACACACATTACCAACTACCAACCTCACAGCCTTCAGGAAGTAACATGTAGAGCGTAATTGAGCTTTTCCTAATGTCTCAGGATCATCAACGTGAAAAGTGCTTTGAGCATTATTTTTTTGTTTTTTTGTTTTGATTTGGGTGGGTTTTTTTCATTGAGAAATGCAGCTTTTGTTGGCTATAAACAAGACAGTGGTGTTTTCTGAATTATTCTGTCTGCTTTTTTTGTTGTTTTTCTTGTCTCCACTCCTGCCTTGAGCTCTTGTTGATATCTATATCTGCATTCAGCAACTCATATCCATACCTTTTAATTTGCTGCTTCTAACCAGCTATGAGCTAGGGAAGCATCATCAAGCTTGTTAGAATAAATCCAAAATGAGAATAAGAGCAAAACTCATATATCTGTGGAGCATGTGGCTCTCATTCTGACTCTTGAAAAGCTCAGTTCACTTACTTGTTAGCTTTGCCTATGCCCTAGGGAGCGGAATTTGTTGGATAAGTGACGTCTGATAGTGGAGCTACACAGTCCCTGGTATCTTCCTGATAGCTACCTATTATCTACAGAGGCCTCTTTTTTAACCTATGAGAAAATAATAGATTCACGTGTAATTTGCTGAACATCCATTCCAAAATGTTATTCTTTTGCCTCCACTGTCTCCCCGCCCCCCCCAACCACATCACTCCCTCACATGGATTACTGAGAGTAGACGGCGGCTACATTGATTGGTGATATACTTTGTCACACAGTGATACTAGGGGAAATAAATGACCTAATTCATAGTGATTCTTAACCTGTAAAATATATATATATGTATGTATGTATAAGGATTTTCCTTTTTAACAATTTATTTTTCTAATAAGCAAGCTCACAGTTGCAGCTTCTCTCCCTGACAAAATGTTTAAATGTATACACTATAAGTAAGGTTTTTGTTTTTTGTTTTAACTGTAAAGCAGTAGAACTGTGAACAAGATGCAAAGCTTATAGCAAAAGAACTGGGAAAAGACAAAGCAGTTAAACCATGGCTAATAAGATACGTTCCAGTTCACCCACTGGAGAATGCTAATAGTTTCGTGTAAGATGGTAGCAAATGTAAAAAATCATTGTTTTCTGTTGCTATAAATAATACCAATCGGAAAAATAATACTCATCTGTCCAAAGCTAATTGTACATTCAGATTGTTAAGAATGATTGGAATATGACTTGCTTTCGTCTTCTTTTGCCTGCAGAGACACAGTGCTCGGTGCCTGTACAGTGTACCGATAAAACAGATAAACAGGAAGTGCTGTTTAAGCATCAGACTAAAGATGATATAAATAGAGGCGCACCCTGCATCACGTCTGTCACACCAAGAGGACTGGGCCGAGATGAGGAAGACACCTCTTTTGAATCACTTTCTAAGTTCAATGTCAAGTTTCCACCTGTGGACAGTGACTCTACTTTCTTACATAGTACCCCAGAAAGACCCAATGTCCTTGGTCCTGCCATATCTGAGGCTGTGTGTGAGGATAAATTCAATATGGAAATCATAGACAACCCAGGAAACTTTGTTAAAACAGAAGAAACTTTATTTGAAATTCAGGGAATTGACCCTATAGCCTCAGCTATACAAAACCTTAAAACAACTGACAATACAAAATCCTCAAATCTTGTAAACACTTGTATCAGGACAACTCTGGATAGAGCTCCGTGCTTACCACCTGGAGACCATAATGCATTATATGTAAAAACATTCCCTGATAAGGACCTGTCTGATGCTTTTCCTTCACTTGATTCACCAGGAAAACCTATCCGAGGACCACAGCAGGTAACTGTTTTGCATTAGCAAATATATTACGCATGAACACATGCTTTGCTATACAGGCACAGATAAGCATCTCTTTCAGGTTATCGGGCATCCTTTTAAACTAATGACTAGCCAAATGTAAATTCTCAATAAAAGATCCAATCCCTATAATAAATTATATGGTAAACCTGTATTATAAAGTACCTTAAAATTTATGGCACATTTTAAGATACGTGTAAGCCTTCTCCATATCTAGTGTGTGTCACTGTTTTAATCCTTTTTTCAAGCCTCTTTTACTCAGCATTATTGTTGTAGCAGGATTCTTTGTTAAATTTCATACTGTGAAACAAATGCTGTTTTTCTATTAAAAAGTTTGTGTAGATGTACTCATCTTTATAAGGATTCATGATTTTTCATAATAATTGTATTGCATATTCCTGTTCATCAAAATAAGTAATCTGTCTTTTAACTGATATCAGTTATACAGTACGTACATCTCTAGGGTTTAGACTTGGTTTTTAATCTGCCACTGACGTGCACCTTAATATATTTTTAATAGTGTCTTCATTTGTATGATTTTAATCAAATACTTTAATGTTCCTAAAGCTCACAGACTACTTAAAGCCCAGCAGTCCACTCCTACCATCTTTTTCATTTGGGTACTCATGGGATGATTCTTCTAGTTTAGTTTAGTTTTTTTTTAAATTAATGCCTGAAGGCAAATGAAAATATATAATTGTTAAAATAAACAAAAACTCATGAAAATACAGATTGGTGTAAATGTCTGTGTAACTTGCAAACATTTGTTTGATTTCTCCTTGTCTTAAACAACTTGATGAATACCCCTTGGCTTTATAAGTACTCTAATAGGCTATAGACTTTTAAATTAGGATGCAAAGGACGCAATAGCCAAGCTGTGGTATATTTTAACAGTGAGGAAAACGAGGCATTTCTGACAATGAACTTTAATTATAAACTCACTTACGTTCTACATTTTACCTTATTTCACATCATAGTCTTATAGTTACTACTAAATGAAGCAAATTAAACAATTTCATTTATTGCAAGTAGAATGCCTGTGGAGCTGTGAAGTGCATCAGTTCTAATGCCTGTTACTTTTCTCCCCATTATGTATCTCTTGCTTGTTCTTTTACTAGTTAGTCTGTGCATTCATGTTTCAGTAGATGGCACCCTGCATTGTGCATTTGCTTTCCATGCTAGAGCTAGGGAAACAGCTGGTATGTGATTACAACTTGATGGAAAAGTATTCAGCTTAAAAAATGCAGGAGAATTGGTGTTGAGCTGTCACAAGACATGGGGCATAAGGTTAGATAATTGATATTTTGGCAGAAAAGGCAAAATTAGTTTGTTTTGAAGGCCATGTTACAGTTTAAGATGGAAAGAATATTTCTTAAAATGGGTTTTAAAAAATATTTTGCTATTTTATTTGTATCAATGTAGCTAGTATAATAAATATAAAATTCTTGAGTTGAAATAACAAAGAGCAGTGAAATTATGGTTAAGTATACCATCTTTTACTTTTTATTAATCATTATTACTGAACACTGTTTTAATATGTTCAGCTATCATTATAAAATTTAAAATACATCTCCCTATTTTTGCTCTATGGGACTTTCTTTTCTTCCTGCTTTTGCTGAGTCAGTCATGGGGGCCCCAACTGAAGTATATGAAGAGATCAAACCTGAATTAATAGCTTTTAACAGAGAAGGATAAATGTGAACTTTGAAGTTAAATCGGCAGTAGAAGATTGGCTCACAAAACTTAAAAGCTAAATTCCATCCATCTAAGTCTGCTTCTCTTTATTTTATACACCTTAGTAATTACTTTAACATAACTTTTTATGTATTTCCTTATTATTAATTTCCCATTAGAGTGGTACATATTAATCAGTTGTATTTTTCGTTTAAAATGCAAACAGCAAAATTTAAATCTAGTTAACTAGATATTTGCTTACTCAAAATTATTACTGCTTTTATCATAGAAGATTTTCCCCAAAAGTATTTTACCCCCAATTTCAAAGTGTATATTTTAAGTGTTACTATTTTATGTAATAAAATTACCACTTCTCACAAAAGGAATTTTGTCACTGTTACTGTAAGCTCTCTGTACTGATATTTGAATGCATCTCAGTGCTTAGACAGACTCTGTGTATTTACACCAACTGTACACAGCTGTCCAGTGAAATGTGTGTAAGAAGACAATGATGTCATGAAATCCAGATACTTCAATTAGTAATATGTGTGCTTTTTCAAATCATTGGTTAGCTAGAATGAAAGAGACTGGTTTAGGAAATGAAAGCTAACACTGTATTAGGTGTTGGACTAAGGTTACTTTAAAAACATTTTGGGAATAGGAGCACACAGGGGTCTCTTTAAATTGACTTTTTTGAGGTGATTTTCCTCAAACTATCAGAATTTAGCTATGTCAAGGTAATTTATCTACACAAGGTAAAAAGCAAATTAAAAAAAGAAATTTGATTTGTAACACTTTAGGAAAATTATATACTCCAATCAACAAGTATTTATTGAACACCTACTGTGGAACTAAATTCTTTTCCTTGCCCTTCTAGTTTTGTTTTTTGTTTTTTTTAAGAATAAATTCAGTTACTTAAGGGCATTTGTGTGCTGCTTATAAATGGAGATAGTTTTATTGAATTATGGTGTTCTGTTAACTATTAATAGGTTTCACTTTATTCAGCCACAAAAAGGAATAAAGAAGGCCAATCTATACACTAACAGGAGCAAAAAATGAAATCAAAAAATGAATCCAGTGTTAGATTTTGTTGAATAATTAATATGTATTAATTAATATTAACATATTAATATGTTCAAATACTTAAATATTTGAGATTTTAAAAAACTGATCAATGGAATGAAAAAAACTTATTTTCAAAAATCAAAACATTTATGAATTTGCTTGTAGTGAAATTTGAATTACTCTTCATCACAATGTATGTACATACATATCATGTCTAGTGTACTGTGTATTAATAAAGGCCCTATAATTTAAGGTTTCTGTTGTAAAATAGAAAAGATAGAATTTAATTTTTAAAGTCTCAATTATTGATTGTTGTTCCAAAATTACTGCCTTTGTGATAAGGGTATTAAAATATGCTGGTGTTAAAAGTTGGAAGATTTTTTAGATATGTGAAGATAAAATGCATGGATGTATGTTTCAAGCGACTCTAAAGTTTTGATGTAACACCCCTTAGGAAAAAGAGAATAAAGTCATGTTTCATACTAACTCTTTGGAAAGGTAATTTACTTTTATATTAGGGAATTTGATATATATATGCACAAACCCATTCAAAAAATTTGAATGTGAAATTCAATGCAAGTTGATTTTAAATATAAATAACAAGAGATGTTTCTGTTTGTTTGTTCCCTGCAGCCAGTTTGGAAGCCCTTTCCTAGTCCAGACGGTGACCCACCAGTACAAAGTGGCACAGGCTCAGAACTGCATATACCTCGAGTATGTGAATTCTGTCAAGCGGTTTTCCCACCCTCCATTACATCCAGGGGGGATTTCCTCCGGCATCTTAATTCACACTTTAATGGGGAGACCTAAGACACATTTGAAAAAGACATATCGGGTTCTATGTGATGATTTTGAGTTTGTAATACTATAAATACTCTGATTGCAAACTTACTTCGAGACCATTTGTTAAAAAATCACAGCTATTTGAATTTTTCTAAACTTATATTGTAACTTTCTTTTATTAAAGATCAAACTGTAAGTCATTGCATTCATGTTTACGGTGCTTATTACCATAACCCAAAGTTATGTGTGTACTTACGGAATTATGTGACCACAATGGAAGTTTGCTTCAACTGTCTAAGCTTATTGCTTGGATTTCTAGTTAGATCTGTTGAATTTGGTGATGTCAAATGTTTATAGGGTATTTTTCATTGTTTTCATTAAAAATTTTAAATTATACTCTAGGTGATTTTTTAAATAAGCCTATAGTAAAGAATAGCAGACAACATAAACATCTAAATACAAAACCTAAGACATTTGTTGCTCAGTGACAGAATCACTGGGAGAACTATTTAAACACTTTATATTTTTTAAAAATAATATACATGGCTTTAATTTTTACTGTATAGGTACAGGATGAAATGAACTATTAAAAGAGTTACTTATATTGTGATCATTAATGTGTGCTTTGTTCCTGAGTAAAAAAAATATGAAGGAAATAAATCACATTTTGGGGACATTTACAAAATGCATGTTTTCTTTCCAATAATTGATACAAGGGTGACACCAGGTCTGGTGACATTTCATTACAACTAGTAGATCACTTTGAATTTTTAAAGTATTTTTCAAACTAAACTTACTAAAGAAACATTTGTATTTAATGGGAACAAATCTAAAAACCTGTAAGAACTATATCCATATGTATTAATTTATACTACTTATATTCACATTCTTCTTGAGAAATTTGTTATTGTTAGCATTCTGATTGATGGCCACTGGAAGACATTTAAGAGAGGGGATACCAAATTCAGAAGGCTGCAGAATTTTGTTTAGAGTGACACTTCCCTTTTGCTTTCTTCCCTGTGATTCTTGTCTTTTAGGTTTCTCTTCCCTCCTACCCTTCCCCCAATTTTTTAAAATGTCTGAGGAATGACTTCCGTTTCATGAAGTAAACATTGATTTACAACTCTCAAAACAAATTTAAGGCTTCCTTGGAGTGTGTGTTTTGAAAAGCTGGAGGGTTTCCGATGAGGGAATTGGAGCAGGCCCCTGTGCCACAGCGAAGAAGAGCCGTAACTTGAGGAAGAATGAGAGTGGTGCCTCAACTTCTCAGGGTGCCAAGCACATCACGTTGACATCTTCCTCACCCAGGTGACATGGTGATTATTAGGTATTCACTGTGAAGGGTTCCAAGGCATGTACATCTTTCTTTCATTGCCACTGGGGCAGGCGAATGGAAATGCCTAGACAATTATCCAAGCCTCTTCCCTTCCCCCACTACCTTCCACCCACCCAGCCTCCCTTCTCACTCCCTGCCACCCCCACCACACACAGGCACCAAATTAAAAATAAAGACTTCCCTGCGTGTATCAGCCAGAATATACCACTGCACCTATCGTGCAAGGGGATTCTTTTCCTCTTTTTCTGGAAAAGTCCCCCTCACACACTTGACATCTAGACTACTGACAACCAAAAGAAATTACAGCCCAGAAAGTGACTCAGTGTATCACTGACCCCTCTTCTCCAGTCAACTGTTTTCCCACCTCCAACACTGTAGTAAGAGGGGGCAACTCTTATTTTCTTTTGGGTTCTAGTGCTACCAACATCCGAGGGACAAAGGCCCTCTTGGGGCCGCAGGGGAGGCAGCCAGAGAACTGGCTCCTGTCCCGAACTGCAGAGGTGGCACCGGCTGCAGCTTGAAAGGTGGAGTGGGCACCCGCCAGGACTCTCCCTCTGTCTCTTATTACTGAGTCGTGCAGAGGCTGCATCTTGGCATCTGCTAAGCGTGGCCGGGTAAGAACAGCTCCCAGGTAAAAAAGCTGCACACTCGAAACGCTGAGTCTGAAAAAACCACCCCCGCCGAGGCGAGGCAGTTGTGAGCGGGATGCCTGAGAAGTGGGAGGTGAATGTCCTCGGGAGGGCCCCCCGGTGCAGCTTTCCCCGGAGGCTGAGGCTGCTGCCAGCGGGGACATCTGCTTTCTTACACTCCCGCCTGGCTCACCCCGCCCCCTCAGCCCGGGTTGCGTGGTTATTTTACCAACACCGTGGTAGGGAGAACTCGAGGAGGTAGAAAGGGGGTGGATGGAAGCTCAGGAGATGTTCTTCCCACTCCTCCACGTCCCCTCCTTTTCCTTTCACATCTTTTAACCTTCAAGGTAAAGACTTTATAAATATGAAAGATGAGCGTGTCCGCCGGCTGCTAGGCCTGCTTTGTGCTCGCTGGGCTCTCGGGTGCGGGGCCTTGCCTTTCCATCCTCCCCGGGGTCGGGCGGAGTTCCGGCGGGGCCGCAGGGCCGGCGGGTGCGCCCGGCCCGTGGCGGCTTCTCTCCCGGGCTGCTGCCTCGACAGCTGCTCGTAGCTACAGTAATTAGACTGTCAGTGCTTGTTAGAAGAGAGCGGGGAAAACACGCTTCTGACAGCAGATTCCGAGACTCCCCAGTTTGTTAATTTCTAAGAGATCTTTAAAGCATTAATTGAGGTCTCCCCAACTCTCCCCTCCCGTCCCTCTCCCCAACTCCTCCTTTCCCAAAAATATCTTCAGGAGAAGAGAATTCTCTCCGCGTGGAAGCAGTGTTTCCCGCAAAACTGCAAGCCCCCCTCCCCGGATTCACGCACGTCCACCCTATTTTATATCTACATATAGACGCATACACGTATACGCGTAAGGTTAACTCCGCGGAGGCCTCGTCCAAAGAGGAACCAGGATTGCATTTTAAAATAATAATAATAATAATTAATAAATAAATGCACTAAGAAGGAAAGGGGGGAGGGAAACAGAGTCGGAAAGAAAAGAGAAAAGCAGCAGGCTGATTACGAGGTGTCAAAACTGCCAGGAGCAAGAAGGTGATAGCAATCAGGGGTGAGAAGAGTGCGGCATTCGTGCGGGGCAACTAATTATCCGTCTCATTTGAGAAGAGCAGCATTTGAGGCAGCAGCGTTCGCCTGCTGAACGGTGACAGATTGGCGCGGAGGAGAGGGGAGGTGTTAAAACAATGGAGCCGGGCGCGCGAGCGCTGCTGCATGCTAATCAGCCCTCCCTCCGCCTGCCTGCCGCGCTCCCTCCTTCCTCCCGGCCTCCCTCCTCCGCGCTCCCTCCTCCCGCCTGCGGCGCTCCCTCCTTTTCAGCGGGCCCGCAGCCGCCGCCGCCACCACCACCCGCGTCCTGCTCCCTCGCTTTCCCGCGCGTCCTTCCCGCCGCTGGCAAGTGGAACCCAGCCGCTGACACCGCGTCCCTCGCGGACCGGGGCCCTCTGGCACCCCCCGCGGGGGCCGTTCGCAGGCCCTGGCCGCACGCGAGCCGCGGCGGAGCGCCACCCGTGCTGGTGCGCCTGGAGCTCGGCCTGACCGAGCACTCGCGTTCTCGGTTCCAAGTCTTGGAGTAGAGGCCGGGGAACCTGTATTCTCGCGCTTTCTGCTGGTGGATTGCACGCGTTGAGCTGGCAGCGGGAACCTAAGCGAACTCAGGGAAGAGCGATGGGGAGCCAGGGGAAGAGAGTCAAGGCCAGAAAGGCAAAGAGGGCCCCTGCGCGGCCGGCGGATACCCGGATCTGGCCCTGGAGCGGCTGGCACTGCACAGGCCTTCCGCCGCCTGCAGCGCGCCAGGGAACTGCGGCCAGCACTGTCTCCCTAGCTCGTTGATCCCGGAAGACCCCAGCACCTTACCTCACAGACACCCCCCAGGAGAGAACTACACTATTACATGATTTAGTAAGCGCAGGAGGAAGACCTTAGCGCTTAGCATAAAGAGCCTTAGCATTAGGTGTGTTTCCAAGGCTTAGCTTCCTGACCCAAGACCTGACCTAAGGTGCTTCTGGACTCCTCAGAGAAACACCATTGAACTGTCCCGGGTCAGCTAAATAAACTTTAAGAAACCGGCCACCCGCCCTCTACTTCAGAGACTTGGAGGCCTGAGGGAGGTCAGGGTTGCTGGCTCAGAGCTCTGGCCTGAGAGACATTGGTCAAAACTTCAGGGCCGTGGCTGCCTCTGGACGGAGAATCCACCAGAACCCGAGTCTCTGCTGAAAAAGATCTCCTATACCTGTTGAGGCTGGCCCAGGACCTGAGGTTTTGCATACAATTTCCTCCTACTTTTTGAGTTTAAAAGCTGATTGTTGAGCTTAAAGCTTTTGCTTCTATTTCTACATTTTTTACTATTTACATTCACAAACTATCCGTAGAGATTAAAAAACATTGACACATTAACGTACTTGTGGTTTAAGTTGATTAAAGGGAAGAGCTCAAGAAGTGGTAGGATATAGACTGAGAATGCAATTCCTTCTAATGGGTTCCCTGCTATTTAGCTAACCAGGTGTTGAAATTAACATAAAACTTCCTTCCCCCAAGCCATAGAGGGGAAAGGAAAGCAGATGAAAATTAATCCCTGCTGTGTAATTTTTTTCCTGCTGACCTTTACCATTGCATAACTTTACACACACAATTGTTCTTCCAAATCAATTTAAAATGTGAAGATCTGATAAAGCTGTCATACGTACATCAGGGTGTTATTGATATTATTCTCTCTCCCCTTCAATTTGTAAGGTTGCACAATAAAAGTACAACAAAAATAAAATAAAAATCACTCGAGTACAATTGGGTATTTTATATCATCATTATTGATCTAGTCATGAAAAAAACATACAAGCTCACAGCAATCATTTTTAAGAACATTCCCCAGCACCCCCAATACAATAGCTGAATGTAAAATATTAGGGTCAACTGAAATAATACAGAATGCTTAACAGTTTTTACATGGAGAATTCTTAAAAGACTGAAACAAAGAATTGTGTGTAAATAGATGTTAATTCCTTTTTGTTTCTACTCTTTGGAAAACCACTAAGCAGGCCTCTGTGCCCTTAGTGCATCACAAGCTTTTCAGTGCTGGAGTGTTATCTGGCATTTGGAAAACTCCCTGGCATCTGAATCTGTTAAAATAGCAACCTATCTAACAAGAAATACATTAATTTTACATATTTATTAATGTAAACTTGGAGGCTCAGATGCTTCATCAGCCTCAAAATTAAGCAATTTATTAACTATTCT